AACTAAACTCCACGCTCTCTGAGTGAGCCTGTGCAACAAGGGAGCACTTCTGACTCTAAGCATCCAGCTTATTCATCCTCGAACCCAGGCAAGTGGGCAGCAGGCTGGGAGCTGACACACTTTTAGACAAGTGGAACCAGTAACTTGACTGGGGTGACCTACTGAGCCACAGGAGGGGCCAGGGCAGAAACTGACCTTTGGCATCTGGTGTTTTCATTTCGCCTTCCACAGGTCCCTGTGAGTGGGGTACCATCCTTCCACCTAGAACATTCTTTTCCTTAAAATGGTCCTTTCTAATGGAGTATGTGGTGGGGACTTGATAATGGGGGGAGTCTAATAACTGTAATGTTGCCCATGTAATTGTACATAATGATACCAACAACAACAAAAAAAAGGTCCTTTCTATGGTTTTCCTTACTTCTCAGGTTCTTCTCTGGGTCATCTGGGTGACTTCCTTCCATACTCTCCACCTTACTCTCTATCTTTGAGGTTAGCACAGAAAAATATACACCTGGCTACGAACTACTGTGACCTTATGCAAGGCTCCTCACCATTCTGAGCCTCAATTTCTACATCTGTGAAATGGGTACAGGATTCCTGGTGCAACAGGTGCTTAATAACTTTCATTTCTCTCAAGATTGGAAAAGTCCAACATAATCTCTAAGCTAAATGGTCAGAAGGGGCAGAATCATGAAATCTTTGATCTAGAATGAGTTTAAGGACCATCTCCTCCAACACTTTCATTTGATAGGGGAGGAAGCCAGGATGTAGGGGACATCAGGGACCTGCTCAGAGTTACAAAAGCTGGGGGAGGGATGTGGGTGGCTTGACTCCTGTGCTACATGCCCTTCCAGGCCTCCCCTTGGTGAGGAGCCCTGAGGAAGCTAGCGAGGAACAGCCGGGTCCTCACCCCCACTGGCCAGGGTGGTGCTTGCGCCATCAGGTCCAAGATGTCCCACCTCCACCCGTTTAAATGCCCGGCCCTCCTGGAGCCGCCCCTCGGGTGGCTGGCACAGCTGACTGCAGGCAGGCCAATGGGGATGAGGGCCTGACCTAGCTGTCCCAGGGCAGAGGTGGGCTGGTTTTCACTGGCTTTGGGGAAGGTGGGAGGGAGGCACTGCTCCTTGGCCACACTTTGAAGTGGACCTTCTGGGCTCCTCTCTATGGTGAAGTCCAGCCTGCTCTGGCAAAGCAAGACCAGGCCAGCAGGGGAGTGGTGGGGCAAGGGGGTGAGGCCCAATAAAGGCAGGTGGCCAGGAATTCCCGCTGTGGCAGGGACCAGGCACAAGGCAACACTGCAGACAGGTCAGCACAGCAGACACCCCCACGGTGACCCACCTGAGGGCTTTCAGGACCCGGCATGGCAGCCCTGATCCTTCTGCCTCTGTGGGACATACTCCAGCCCCAGCCCTTGCGGGACCAAACTGGCTTGTGAGCTGCAGAGGGCGGGCCAGGGCTAAATCCCCCGGCAGCAGTGAACAAAGGCATTATTAGCAAGGTAGGAGGAACTCAGGGAGGCAGGAGAACACCCTGCTTAGCGCAGAAGGGCCCCTGTGGCCCCACCGAGGTCACACTGACCCAGATGCCCTAGCTAGGCTGGCTTTCAAGATCTGATTACATCCGGTGGCAGTATCCTTCGGAAGACAGACTCACTAGTGCCTGGGATCCCCCTTTCACTGGGGCCTTTGGGGTGAGGCCCCTTGATACGGTCCCAACGGAGATGATTCCAGGAACTGAGTGTGTCTCGCTCATTGCTCGGGCTGCCTAATGAGACTCAAAAGCACATGGTGGCCGGCCTGGAGCAGGTTGGTGTCTCACAGACCACATTTTCTGGGACAACTTCACTCCTGGCCACATGTATTTTTTCAACTCTTATTCCTGGCCTGATCACTTTTTATCTTACCTTTATGTATTTTGATAAGTGCTTCAAATAAATGTTTTTGACTGAGTAGCATTTAATAAGAAACTGAATAAATAAATAAGCACTGGAACCAAGGGTTGCATGAAAGTCTCATCTACCCTGGGAGGTCTTTTAATTGTCACATTTTTATATATGGGTAAACTGAGACTCAGAAAAATGAGTGGGGTATGTGGTGGGTCCATTTGAGATTTTTCTCAAAGGACATGAAGGTGGCCAAATCAGGACCTGAACATAAATTCTCTTCCCAAGCCAGCGCCTCTCTCCCTCCTCACAGCCGAGACGGATCCCTCCCTTGTGCAGGTGGCCTGGTTGTAGGCTAAACCATGGGACCAAATTAGGCCCCAGCTGGCAGCATTTCTGCCTCCATTATAAAGCTTTATAGAGAAACCATTAGACATGACAATAAAGCTGATGGTGGTCACCTACGCTTACAAGCCAGCTACTGTCCTGAGTATATTACATGCACAAACTCAACCGAATCCTCCCAACATGAAGCAGGTACTGTTGTCACCCCCATCTTATAGATGAGGAGACTGAGGCCAGAGGGAGGGTGTAACTTGCTCAGTGACACACACACGATTTTATCCAGTGGTAAAGCATTCGGAGTCCCTTCCGGCTGCCAAGTTCAACCTAAGCGGGGTGACAGGGCTCCACAGAGTCCACCAGTGACTAGTGAAGACCAGCAGTGGATGGAACAGTCACCACTGCATGGCAGGGTGCTCCCCCAGCCATCATCAACCATTCACTCAGCACCTGCTTACTGGAAGCTGGCTGTGCCCCAGGCACTGTGCTGGCCCTGGGAGGAAGGGGACAAGGCAGACGAGCGCCCCTGCCCCTGCGGAGCACGCATACGGGGTGGGGCAGGGGACCGCAGTAAACTAAAAATAAATGAGTCAAGTAACATCATACATGAGAAAGAGTCACGCTCTGGAGAAAAATAAAGCAGGCTGAAGGGTAGCGGGGAGAGGGTTTGGTGACAAATAGGGTGGTCAGGGCGAGCATCACCATGGAGAGGGAGACTTGAAGATGGTGGTACAAGGGAAGCAGGCCGCAGGCAGAAGGAGCAGCCCATACTCGGGGAGGGTGTGTCTGCTGGGAGTATGCGATTGCAAGGAGGGCAGACCGGAGGGGGACGAGCAGGCCCAGATCACGCAGAGCCAGGGGCTGTGGCTGGAAATGTGGCTTTCAGGGAGCATTGTGAGCAGGGGAGGGACGTGACCTGACTTTGGCTTGAACAGGCTCACTTAGGCTGCTCTGCTGAGAACCGACCGCCACCCCAAGAGTGGTGAGCAGTGAGCACCTGCCATCCAGGTGAGATGGGGGTGGCTTTCACCAGGGCTGGGGGTATGTGCGGAAGGATGTCAGATTCTGCTGGATTTCCTATGACCTCGATGTCAAGGGTGAGCAAGAAGTCAAATTTGGCAGCTCCAGGAAGGATGAGGTAGCCTTTGACCAGGAGATGGCAAATGGCAGAGCGGGGCTTCGAGGCAGACTCTGCTTCCACGGGGTCCACTGTTTCTCTCCCTGCAGACGCCAACACAGGCTGCTAGTGAAGGGCATGGCCACAGTCACACAGCTGGCCGAGGGCAGAACCTGGCCATTAACCCTGATCTCTGGATCCCAATCTCGTCCTTTCCATAGTATGCCTGACCGGGAAGCTTCATGGGATGGATGGGGGTGGGGTGAGCGATGATTTGGAGCTGATGTCCCCCCACCCCTGTGGGCTTTAGGGGTAGGACTCGGCAGGGTAGACTTTCCCACTCCCAACTCCCACTTCCTGGGATGCATTAGCTTGAGCCCCTGCAGGAACTCAGGACCCTAAGAGGGGCACGGAGGTCAGCACCTGCCTGGAGAGGCAAGTTCAGCTGAGGAAGGGCCTGGGGTCTCCCATGTGCTGGGCCAGTGCCCTCTGAGGTCCACACAAGTAGCTCTGTGAGGACAAAATGCTGGTCTGTGTCCCTCCCGCTGCTGAAGGCAATGCTTGGCAGTTCAGAAGCCATACATAGGCTCTTAACTCAGTTCGGTAAAATTCACCAAGTATTTCTTAGGTGCCTGTTCTATGCCAAGGTTGGTCTCCCTTGAAACCAAGCACCTTCTGCCCCATCTGCCCCAAGCCAGAACCCACGCTGAGCTCTCTGAACCCTCTTCCTGACTCCCCCCAGGGAGCACGGAACCATCACCCTCTGTGACCGTATGGTGAACATACGGACACTATGAACCTGAGCCTCAAGGCCCTTGGCCTCCCTGAGCTTTGACTCCCCCATCTATGAAATGAATATAATCATTCCTAACCTGCCCATTTCAAATAATCCATAGGCCTCTCCGTTTCCCAACACTCGCCATGCTGACTCATCTCCTCTGATGTTCGTGTCCTCACAGCCTTACTGCAAGTCCCCTAGGGCAGGGAGCTATGCACAGCAGGTGCTCAGTAGGAGTGCCCTGCCTTGCACTGGGCTCCTCACTATCACTTCAGTGTGCACAGACTCTGGGACTAGACTGTCCCGTTCACGTCCTGGCTCTGCCATTTCCAGTCTGTGTTGCCCTGAGGTGGTTAATTACTTTCTTCCTTCCCGTCTATGAAGTGAGGATTCAATAATAATCCATGTGAAGTGCCTAGCACTTAAAGTGCTCAATAAACTTCAGCTCTTCTTATTGCTAGTGTTATTCCCCAGCCTGGCGGAGAGAGGGCCTGCAGGCAGGGGAGTAGCCAGAGCAAAGGCTTGGAGTGAGCCCCGGGCAGGGCCTGGGCGGGTGCTGTCCTGACTCAGGGCGGGAAGGAGCAGAGACGGGGGGTGGGGGGGTGGGGGGGGGGAACCTGAGTGGAACAAGTAGAGCCCGGACAGAGCCTGAGCCTGCAGGGGCTGGGACTCCAGGGGAGGCAGGAACTGCAGGGCTCTCCAGGGGCTCCGAGAGCAATGCTCCCTCAGTACACTCCAAGAGTTGCACCCCGCCCCAGGGGCCTAGGTCTCCTGTGTGAAGGTGGGGGTGATGGGCCAGGGGCTTCCTGATAGCCAAATGATCATGGACATGGGATGCTGAGGCTGACCCTGACCCAGGATGGTGGCAGGACCTGACCACCCTGGGCCTCTTCTCCGTATGTTGACTCAAGGCTGTGGCCTTGTCCACTTGCATGGTTCCTGGAAGGTTCTAGCTGGGCCTGTTTTCTTCCTTCTCTCTCTCTCTTTCCACTTCTCCCTTCTCCTTGTGCCCTTTTTCTTTGGGCTCTGCTTGGAAGCCTGATGGGGTATGGGAGGGAGGCAGATAAGCCCAAACCCGACAACCTAGCCATGAGGTCAGGCTTGGGGCCCTGGCTGAGTCCAGTGGGGGCACCTTGGCCAGAGAGAAGATAGGTGCTCCATGGAGGCCAAAGGCTTTGACTGTGGGGTTGGCCAGTCGGGCAGCAGCCTCCTGGACAGGCTCTGACAGCTGTCACCGGGGTGACGGAGGGTGCCTGTGGAGCTCTCCGTGGTCCTGAGCTTCCCTGCGCTAACCAGGGTCTTAGCTGAGCCAGGGGAGTGCCCTTCGTGGCTTCACCAGCCCCTGCCAGCCTCCTCTGTGGTTCAGCAGCTGGCAGCAAACAGGTGTAACACCTAGTAGGTGCTCAGGGTGCTGGTGGAATGTCGGGGGTGTGTGGCAGGTACATCTTGGAGGTCACACAGCCCACCCTCAGTCTCCACTTCTGGGCATAAATCTGCCCATTTACAACCCCCAGCCCAGAGTACCCTCATCACGTTTCCTGGAATTCGTTCATTTGCTTGAAAGGGCATCTTGATTTTGAGCTGAAGTCCCCTCCCTGTGCTCATCTTCTGCTTCATCCCCGTCCTATACCACACGACCTAAGGGCTCTTCCTATCCCCATGAGGAAGGCAGGGGGTGCATCTTCACTGCCACCTCTGCCGTGCACAGTGACTCCCAAGACACAAGGTATGCCAGTGGTTACACTATGGGACCTGAACACTGCCTCTGACCCTGGCAAGTTTCTCCACGTCTCTGTGCCTCAGTTCCCCCTTTCTGTAAGATGGAGGTACAACAGTCCTATCTCATAAGGTTGCTGTGAGAATCAAATAAGTTAATCCATGCAAAGTACTAGTAACTGTGCCAAGGCATACAGTAGGTGCTCAGTAAGCATTAGCCTCCAGTGTTGCTGGAAGTTTGGTTTGCATCCCAGCACCATAACTTTCTAGCTGTGTGCCCTTAGTTTCTCTGAGCCTCAGTCTTCTCAGATGTAGAAGATAGCTTCTCCCCTTGCAGTCCTGTGGGAGACCTGGATGAGCCATGGTGTAAAATTATCCTGTGTGGAGCCTGGCACTTGGTAGACGCTCTTAAAAAATTACAGTTTCTTTCCTTCCATCTGGGTTTCCTGCCAGACAGCCAAGTGCAGATGACTTGATGGAAGAGGACAGGCCTTGTTCCTGGATGGCTCTGCCGAAGGACTGAGCTGGTTGGAAGGCTGCTCGCTACTGACTGGCACCCGTCACCCTACAAGGCATTCTCAGGGACTCATCTGGCTTTCAGAGCCTGAGGCCAGAACCAAGGGGATCTGGAGCTCCCTGGAGGGTCCCAACTCCTCCCCCAGAGTCTGAAGGGTCCTTGAGTGAGAATAGTGTCCAAACCTTCAAGCCAGGCAAGTGCCCCTGCCAAGTGCCTGTCTGGCTTCTGCTTGTCTAATTCTTAATGCCACCTATTCCAGTCTCTTTGGGCTGCTAGAAATTCTTCCTTCTTTTGGCCTAAATCAGCATTTCTGGAGATTCTGCTACTGCTTATGGGTCTTTCCTTGGGGTTAAGCAGAGCAAGTTGGTGTCTCAGGAATCAGAAGAGAGTGAAGAGTGACTGCCTCCCCCAACTCTGAGACCTTCCAACATGAGGCTCCCTGACCCCACATGGAGAGACAGGCGTAAGAGATGGCTACAGAATATAACAGATTCTGGAGTTCTGGCAAGAAACTGACGCTGTGTTCAATGCTTCACCTCTCATACTCTTATTCATTCTTTCGGTTCATATCCATCAGACAGGGCTCCACAGGGCCCAAGCCTCCATGCAGGGGTCACAGCCAGTGCATCATCAAGGCTACTGGTGAACATTTACCAAGAACTTGCCATGTGCCAGGTGATGCGCTGCAAGGGCTGGAGAAACTAGGGGCCGATTCACAGGACCAACCCCGGAAGAAGGCATGTGTGTAGATGGGGAAACGGAGGCTTCAAGAAGTTAAGCTGCTCACTCAGCCACACAGAGCTTGTGGGAACGAAGCAGATGGAAATGGAGACTCCCTGGACATCCTGCACCTGCTAACAGGTAGGACGGGGGCCCACCAGGGCTGCAGGTTTGGGGGTCCTGCCCCAGGCTAAACACAAAAGGCCTGATCAAGGGAGGATCTGGTATACCATGACCCCAAGGGCCAGGAATTCTGCTCCCCTGGCCCTCCTCAGAGAAAGGGGGTCTGCTTGAGGGGCCAGTCCCGGCCAAGAGGTCCCTCTGCCCAGGTGACCAGAAGGCCCTGCAAAGCCCGCTCATCACGGGGCAGGTGTGACAGCTGCTGCTGTTCCCATCCACAAATAAGGAAACTGAGGCCCAGGAAGAGACACAGAGCTGCACTGTGAGCCAGTTTCTGGGCCAGCCTGACTGGGAGCCCAGGCCCTCACCCAGGCACAGGGATCTAAGCCCCACTCTCTCTGCTGGCTTGGCTCCAGTCCAACGCCCATGCCCAGGAGCCTTTTTCTCGGGGAGCCCCACCCATCCCCTACCCACAGCCAGCTGCAGGGCACTCTGGCCCCTTTCCTTCCTCCAAACCCCTCCCCAGTCCGCCTGATTCCAGGCCCTCGCCAGCTGCCTGTGAACTTTCCCACAGAGTAGCCGGGTGTGCCTGAGAAAGCTGGTTCCCAAGGCCCACCCTTGGCTCCCTGGGGCCTCCTCTCCTTTCCCTACTGGTTATTGGTCCCCCCAGGACATCAGCTTCTGGTTCCCAGAGGCCCATAGGCAGCGAAGACAGGGAACATTTCCACCATTCCAACATGTTCTATTGGTCCACACTGGGGGCTAAACAGATCAGCCATCCTCAGGCACCAGCCAATGGGATGGCTGTGCTCAGAAGTCTGTGGTGGCTCCCACCGTCCAGCACTAAGGCTCACAGCTGTCGTGAGCCCTGCCTCTCGAGAGCTGCCCCTGCCTTGCCTTATGCATGTTGACATGATGGTCACCACTTAATGTCTGCCTAAGTGTGTGCAAGCTGTTGTCTGGGGGTTTTACATATACTTGATCCTCACAACCATCCTCAGAGGTAGGGACTGCTATCCCCGTCTCACATGAGGAAACTGAGGCTCAGGGTAAAGCAATTTGTAGAGCATGCCTCTGCTCACCTGTGCAAACCCACTGCTCTCCAGGGCCTGAGACCCACACAGCCTCCACTTAAAAAGGGTAGGGTGGAAGTGCCACTGGCCTCAGCCCCAGGCCACTGAAGGCTCTGAGAGGAGTGACCT